GATCGGCAATTGGTACGTGTCCATAACATTTAGATAGGTTAGGGTCATGTGACTGGTACGTGTCCGTAGACTTTCCGGTTGGTCCATTACTGTGTCACACCGATCTCCTGCTTCAACGAGCCTCCGACGTCACCATCCTACCGCTCACAACGGCAAAAAATACGGCACGTGCCGTAATTCGATAATTTTCAAAATTAATTCTACCGCCAACTATACCTCAACCTATACATCCTAATTTATACGACTATGGTATACATATAAGCAGATAACAAAAAGAAAAAGAAAAAAAGAAATCCATTTGCAAAGAAAGCGTAAAAATTTCGTAACAGTGGGCATAAATTCATGTAACAATTTGTCAAAAATATATGCCTGTAACTAATCAAAATACTAACTCTAATCCTACGTGATGTTAGAAATAATCAGAAATTAACAAATCAATAATGATAACGCAAGTTCTGTTTTTGTATGTTGTAGATTAATAACAAGCTAGAATTGGTATTCTGAATACCTACCTTAGCTTTATTACTAGATTTCTTTGATATTTCTTAATACATCAAGTTTAGCAATAAAATACACAATGGATTTAGAAAAATATATTATCATAATACTATTAAAATTTTAATATTCTGTATAACCATTTGCTGTTAATACTGTGCCGTAATAGCGGCTGGGCGTTGTTTCGAGTCATAACCAGAATTAAGCCGAAATTCGAAATTACACCTTGGCGCGAATATGGTCTTTATTTTTATCAATTATACATTGAATCAAATCTAAATTTCCGATAACGTAAATCCCTCCAGTCTAATCCTATATCTTCATAATCAAATTCATTGCCAATAAATATTCTTAAGAAAATCAATGTATTATTTTTATAAAATGCCTTTGCTAATGCTTTGCCTCCTTCAATACCAATATTAGTAGCACGGAGGATTAAATCAGTTAAAGTAGTATTTATATAAAGTGCTTCTGCAAACGCTTTTCCTCCTTCAATACCAATATTATTAAAGCTAAG